TCGGGCGCAGGCCGACGTCGGAGCCGACAGGTAGCATTTAATGCTTGTCCATCGATTGTTTAAGGCCCATGTGGAGACATCATTGCGTGAAGGGGGCCCACTGACAAAAAGACTGCGCAAACGTCATTCCGCATTAAATGCCGCCGAATCTCCTCAAAAGATGAGCCCCCTCGGTTACTATAAATAGCAGCAATAAAGGTAATACGAGGATCTTTTTCCCGACACATAAATTCTGCATTAATCACCTCGGCTATCGCCAGTTTTAATACCATTGCACTGTAAAAAAACCGACCTCAAGTCCTCAAGAACCGACTTGATGTTTTCTTAAGTACTCTCCAGTTATTCAATAAAATCGTCTCGTTACCGCGTTAATCTTAAAGTTCAGATATTTTCGTTGATACAAATCCGTTTATCAACAGTTTGGCGCTAGAAGAAGGGCCTCATAAGATATCTTGAGGTTAATCTTTGAATCCAGCATCTACCTTTGAAACCGTTGACTTGAAATCGAACAACGATGGCACAATCAGGACAAGATGACCAAACAACAAGGGGAGGGGACAGCCACGGTCCAATCCCTTCAACTGGTAGGGCCAATACGGCCATAATACCAGACCTTGCTACGCTTATGCAGAACCCTAAGTTTGCGAAAGGCTTCTCAACACTACTGGCCCAGACAATGCCGGGAGCCTCGAGAACCGTGCCAGGTCAGTCGTTGGCGCCCATAACCCCGGCCAGGCCGGCGGCACCACCGCAACAGGGCGTGAACAACCAAGCGCGCTCACACGCAACGTCCCAACCGAGGGACGGCGCCACCCAGCGACAACCAACCCAGATGGTGAACCCCCAAGAGCAGGATTTGCAAGAAATGACGGCAGAAAGCGAGTCCGGACATGCCCGGAGGGAAACCGCCGTCGCTAGACCCTTGTTCAGAACGGCGGGAAACCCAACCGACCTCCGACACCAGATAGTGCAGGGCCGAACGGCTAGGCACGACAACCCCGAGATGGAGGCCTTAAGGAGGAGAGTCGCCGAACTTGAGACTTTACAAAACCAGAGGGCGAGGTCACCCCCCAATCAACGCAGTCAAGAGACCGGCCACGTGTACGTGGAGACGGACTCCCCACTCTCTCCCGAGTTGACTTTAGAGCCACTGACCGGGAAAATAAAAGTCCCACAAATCGGCCTGTACGACGGAACGTCGGACCCAGACGCCCACCTCGGGCATTACACTTCATGGATGGATCTACACGGGGCCACCGACGACCTCAGGTGCCGCATGTTCTCCCTAACTCTGGGGCCAAAGGCACAGAAGTGGTACTACTCGCTGCCTGCGCAATCTATCCGACGCTGGGTTCAACTCAGGTCGGCGTTCCGCTCCCATTTCATCGGAGCGCAAGTTTGCTTGATCCCAAAGGAGTCGATCACGAACATCGTCCAGAAGGACGACGAGAGCTTGAAGGAGTATGTTGCCCGTTTCAACGAGCGTGTGCAAAACATGGAGCCATGCCATCCTGAAACACTCTTGGTGAGCGCTATTTCAGGGCTGAAGCCGAAGTCGATGTTCAGGTGGGCGTTGTGCCAAAACAAGCCCAGTACCTTCCAGGAATTTTTGGTCCGGGCACAAAACCACATAATTGCCGAGGAAAGCATGTCGGTCCCGGATTTCACGTTCGCATCCCCGGGACAAAAACCGACGTCGGAAAAGAAGAAGAAGTCTTTTGGCAACACGCACAAGAAGACCTCCTCCACGGACCCGCGGTGGGGGGATCCGAACGACCCCGAGGTGCGAGCAGCTCGGAAACAATACCGGGAAGACCTGAAAGAAGGATACCGATATATCTACTCGGTTGGAGCGGCCGCCATTTACGAGGAAATAAAGGGAAAGGGAATCATTCCCGACGCTCGACCAGTCAAAACCCCGGAGAACCAACTCGACAAGGGCCGCTACTGCGACTACCACAAGTCGCCGGGTCACAATACAGACGACTGCCTGAGCCTGTTGTCGGCTCTGATGAAGCTCATCGGAAATCCACAAGTGAGGAAATTCACCAAGGCTGGAGATAACAAGGGAAAACGAAGAATGCAGGAAATCCCCGACGATGACGAAGGAGATGAAGGGGCACCGACTTTCAAGAGGCTTCGAGCCCAGGGAGATAAGGAAATCTTTGTGATCGGACCAGCGGACGTCGGTTCGCCCCAAGACCAACATAGGAAGAGGGGCCGAGAAGCCGACGCCCAGCCACGATCCAGCCAGACCCCTCCGACCTCGGGACGGTCGAGTCCTATTCCCCGAGTTAATACAAACCGAGATACACCGACTTCATCCAGAAGGCAGGCCAAGGCTTATGCGCGAAAGGCCTACAACTCGGGGAAGCAAGTCATGACCTCGGATCTTAGAGAAACGATCAATGCCCGCACCTGCCCGATCACTTTTACGTTGGAGGACGCAAGTCTGTTCGATCATCCACACTCGGACGCACTCATAATCACAGCCCCCATCTGCGGAATTCCTGTCCACCGGATCATGGTGGACACCGGGGCCTACACGAGCATCCTCATGCTTAAGGCGTTCAACAAGCTCGGGATAGACCCCGCCGAGGTCCGCCCTTGCAATGACCGCGTCCACGGCTTCAACGGGAGCGTGGCGCTCCCATTGAGGGAAATCACACTCCCCATCAGGTTCGGAGGGAACGGGCAGACATCCAAAGTCATCATGGAAACTTTCAAGGTGATGGACCTTGACAACGAATATAATGCGATCATTGGGAGGACGGCATTGTACAAACTCCGAGCTGCCGTTTCAATATTTCATTATGCGATAAAGTTCCCGACGGCAGACGGAGAAGGAACTCATTACGGGGAGCAAAGAGAGGCCAGGGAGCTGTTTCTGGAGATACCCTCGCGAGAAATCCATATGATAGAGGAAGTTGATGTCGAAGCGGGCGACGATCAAGGTCAGGGGGGAGATGAACGACCACCGACTAGAAACGAAGAAGACAAAACCCGGGACCGAAGAAGGCGACCAGGGAAGGAGCCAACCAAGGAAGATGATATCCTTGATCCCCGAGATCAGTTTAAGGAGAAGAAGCCGGGGAACCGAGCTGATCCCTCAGAAGGGGTCGAGATAATTGACGTCGGCGGGCCGACTTGCCCAAAACAGCTCCGAATAGGAGCCCGCTTGCCCGAACCACTCAGAACTCAGTTAATACAATTCCTTCGAGCAAATGCCGACGTCTTCGCCTGGAAGCACGAGGACATGAAGGGGATCGACCCGAAAGTCGCTTGCCACCGGCTCAATATCGACAAAACGGTGAAGCCGGTCATTCAGAAGAGGAGGAAACTCGGCCCCGACCGACAACTGGCCCTCGAGGAGAAGGTGAATAAGCTGGTTGATAATAAATTCGTCAAAGAAACCAAGTACCCGACCTGGGTATCTAATCCCGTTCTGGTCAAGAAAGCCAGCGGCGCGTGGCGACTGTGTATAGACTTCTCCGACCTCAACAAAGCTTGCCCAAAGGACAGTTACCCCCTGCCACACATAGATTACATGGTCGACACAACCTCGGGCCACGAACTCATGAGCTTCATGGACGCCTACTCGGGCTACAACCAGATTCCAATGGACCCGGAGGAAGCGGAGCACACCTCGTTCTATTCGGCTCGGGGGCTATATTGCTATACGATGATGCCATTTGGACTGAAGAACGCAGGGGCCACCTATCAACGGTTGGTTAACAAGATGTTTTCTAGGTTGATAGGACAGACCATGGAAGTCTATGTTGATGATATGTTAGTGAAGTCGGTTGTAGCAGATGACCATGTACGCGATTACTCCATGGTGTTGAATCCGAAGAAATGCACCTTCGGGGTAAAGTCGGGAAAATTCTTGGGCTATATGGTTAGCCAAAGGGGGATCGAAGCAAACCCAACAAAGATCCAAGCGATACTCGACCTCAGACCCCCCACCTCGGTGAAGGGAGTGCAGAGTTTAACAGGTAGGCTAGCGGCCCTGAATCGATTCATTTCGAAGTCGACCGACCGCTGCAAGCCATTCTTTGACGCAATCAAGAAAGGGAAGAAGTTCGAATGGACCGACGAATGTCAGAAATCCCTCGACAATATCAAAGACACGCTGGGCCGACCTCCGGTCTTACAGAAACCGAAGCCTGATGAAGTGCTGTATTTATACCTCAGTGTAAGCAACTCGGCAGTCAGCGCTGTACTCATAAGAGAAGAGGAGACATGTCAACACCCGATCTACTACGTGAGCAAAGCGTTACACGACGCCGAGCTCAGATACCCGCCAATGGAGAAGTTGGCTTACGCTCTTGTCATCGCTGCAAGAAAACTCCGACCATATTTCCAGGAACATTCAGTCACCGTCTTGACGGCCCATCCGTTGAGGCAAGTCCTGCACAGACCAGACACCTCGGGGCGAATGATCAAATGGGCCGTTGAATTGGGACAGTTCGACATACACTACAAGCCCCGCACGGCCATCAAGGGCTAAGTATTATCCGACTTCATCGCTGAGTTCACCCCGGCAATCCGAGAAACGACAGACCAACGGCCGTGGGTAATGTACGTCGACGGGTCGTCAACCGCGACTCGGGCAGGAGGAGGGGTGGTTCTGATCGACCCGGAACAACGGGTGTACTGCCACTCTGTCCAGTTCCTTTTTTCGGCCACCAACAATGAGGCCGAGTACGAGGCCCTGCTGTCGGGCCTGAGCCTCGCAGAAACCATGAACCTCACCCACCTCACCATCTTCTCGGATTCCCAGCTACTCGTGAACCAAGTCCTCGGTGTTTACGAGGTAAAAGAACCCCGACTAGTACCGTACCTCACATTGACCAAGCAACAGATGGGAAAGTTTGTGGCCAAGATCGAGCACATCCCAAGGACGTCTAATGTACAAGCAGATGCCCTCTCACGCCTCGCCTCCAGTGCGAACATGGAAGATGTCGAGTACGTTCAAGTCGGAAGTCAAGAAAGACCTTCCACGTCTACATCGTCGGTTGGCCAAGTCGGAATTGACGAAACCGACAAAATACCGACTTGGATGGACCCAATCATTGAGTACCTAAAATCGGGAACACAGCCCTAGGACCCCCGAGAGGCCAGGTCACTACGGATACGAGCTGCCAGATACACTTTAGATCGGGGAGCACTCTACAAACGAGGGTACTCGGTTCCACTCCTGAAGTGCCTAACGGAGCAACAGTCACTGTTCGTGTTACAGGAGGTCCATGATGGTATTTGTGGGAGTCACTCCGGTGGCCAAGCCCTTGCCTACAAAATCCTTCGGAGAGGATACTACTGGCCGACGCTCAGGCGGGACGCCGCCGACTGGGTGAGGAGGTGCACCAAATGTCAGATATTCGCGCCGAACAGGAACCTAGTGCCCGAGCCCCTCAAGTCGATCGTAAGTCCTTGGCCGTTCTCTAAATGGGGGATCGACTTGATCGGTCCGATACCCACCGGGAAAGGAGGAGTAAAGTTCGCCGTTGTCGCGGTGGACTACTTCACAAAGTGGGCAGAAGCAGAGCCATTAGCAACGATCACCGAGCAGAAAATGATTGACTTCGTCTGGAAGTCGATAATATGTCGTTTCGGTGTGCCCAACTCGATCATTACCGACAATGGGAGACAATTCGAAGGAAAAAAGTTGGAAGACTTCTGCACGTCGCACAACATAAAGCACTACTTCGCCACCCCATATCACCCTCAGACGAACGGTCAAGTCGAAGCGGTGAACAAGTTAATCAAGAACGGCCTGAAGACACGACTAGAAGCAGCGAAATGTGCTTGGCCAGAAGAACTGCCTGGTGTCCTGTGGGCGTATCGAACAACTCCGAGGTCATCGACCGGAGAAACCCCGTTCTCTCTGTCATATGGGTCAGAAGCCATGGTCCCCGTGGAACTCGGATCGCCCACCTACCGAGTAGAGAATTTCACAGAGGACCAAAACGACGACAACTTACGCATGAACCTCGACCTGGTCGAGGAGCTGCGGACACAGGCCGAACTCAAAAACGCGGCTTACAAGCAAAGGAGCGAGCGCTATGTCAACTCTAAACTCAAACCCAGGACTTATCGAGTTGGCGACTTGGTCTTGAAGAGAGTAACGGGGCCCAACCCCGGCCCCTTAAAACCGAAGTGGGAGGGGCCCTATAAAATAAGTCAGGTGCTACCTCATGGGGCCTATAGGTTGGAAGGTCTGGACGGTACGCCCCAAAGATACCCATGGAATGCGGTGTACCTCAAGAAATTCTTCCAGTAGCACCAAACAGGCCTCCGTGCCACTAGTCGGTCCCCGCGCCGA